ATGAGTACTGGTAATGTTAGTTGTTTCTTTTTGGCTACTAACAATTTGCCAGTTGTGAATTGTTGTTTTCAAAAACTTGTTTTCCTGTTGGGTTTGTGCGTTTTGCGTGTTAATTGACCAGTCAGGCAATCATCAGCTGCGCCACACCTACTTATTCCACTATTCAGTAGCACATCACCACGTCAGTGCATTTACATGCAGCACTTTGATAGAACCACTTACCATCAATGAATGCGCATCTATGACACCCGATGTCGGGTGTGATACTGCCAGCGTAGGAAGGAGTGTCATTCGTGAAGTGTGCGTGGTAGCGAAGCCAGTAAATCCCTCCTCTGGTTAGTGCAATGCGTCTGAGGACTCCATCCTCACGGTGGATGAATAAGGCATGATGATTTGTGCAGCCAATTACAAACCAGGGATGAAAGAGCTGTCTCGTTACTCCGACTGTGTTGGTGATGTTTCCATGGTATGCTCCTAGATCCTCGGGGTGGAGTAGGCGCTCATGTCCATTCCGGCGCGAAGTGTTCCACTCGTTGCAACAACTGTCAATGGACTGGTCAAATTGGCGACTGGGTGAACGGCGACAGCGTCGTAATGCATGCAGCTCTTAAAGGACGGGGTTTTGAAGCAGAGGCAAATGTGGTCGCTCCGTGGAGGCGCTATTCAATGAAGTCGCAAATGCACTCGTCATTACACCCTGAACAGTTAATTGAAGGACCGACTTGGCGCCTCCGAATCATTGCAGTACGTCAACATCTCAACACATCCTCCACGCCGAATTGTGAGGTGAAAGTAACGTAGGTAATCGGCGATGTAACCGCAGCTCGTGGCAGTGATTAACAAGTGGACTGCTAAAAGGACGTCATTTGAGGGGAGAGCTTAATTGTACAATTGTGTCGTCTCCGCCCTCCGTTCGGCGCATCTCACGAGGCGAAGAGACGGTCCCTCGCGATCAGTATGGCGCACCGAACGACCGCCCCTGCAGAGAAATAAGAGAGCAGATTACGTCATTAGGCGTCCAGAATTCACCGAGTTTTCAGTCCGAAGTGGGGATGTAGAGATGGGAGGATTTCTGAATCAG